AATTTAAAAGTTTATTTTATTCTCAAACCTAATTTGTATTTATTTTATTCCAAGTCCATTTTCCATTTTTTTGTGGTCATTTTTATTAAGATATTATTTATTATCGGCAGAGAATAAAATAAAACCTGTCTTCCAATTCATTGTGTGTGTGGTAGAAGTATCGGTTTTTGTACTCTGTATCAGCAAGTACTCAGATCCAAGTATCGGTATCGTATCGGTTTGAAAAAATTGGTATCGTTGCATCCCTACCTCGAGGCACTTTACATTGCAAGATAAAGACCCTACAATAACACAGAGAGAACCCCAACAATCAGCTGACTTGCTATGAGCAAGCAGTGTGCGACAGTGGGAAGAAAAAACTCTCTTTTAACAGGAAGAAACCTTTAGCAAACACAAACTGAGGGAGTGGCCATCTGCTGCGACCAGTTGGGGGGGAGGGAAGGGAGATGGGACTTTTAAGCTTATTTCTTATTTTCTTACTAGCAGGTAACCATAATGTGTTCAAGTACAAATTGATGCCCTGCCACTATCTTAGGTACACCTGTTCAACTGCTTGTTGATGCATATATCTAATCAGCCACATGGCAGAAACTTAACGGTCCAAACAGCCTGCTGAACTTCAAACCGATCAGATCAGAACAGTGAATAAACCTTGTGTGATTTGAATATGTCACTGTTGTTGGTGCCAAAGGGGCTTGTGTGAGTATTTCCTGTAATTTTCCCACACAGCCATCTCTGAAGTTTACAGAGAAAGTTCAGAAAAAGAGAAAATATTCAGTGAGCAGCAGTTCTCTGGGCAAAAATACCTTACGGATGCTAGAGGGCTGAGAAGAGTGGTTCGACAATGATAGGAAGACAACAGTAACTCAAATAGCCACTTATTACAACCAAAGTATGCAGACGAGCATCTCTGAACTCAAAGCATATCAAATCTTGAAGCAGATGAGCTACATCAGCAGAAGACCACATCGACTCCGGTTAGATAACAACTTGAACTTGAGGCTACATTAGTGTGGAGAATATCTTTTTGACACATTTTGATCCCTTAGTACCATCTGAGTGCCACGGCCGACCTGAGTGTTGTTGCCGTTTGTCCATTTATGAATCTTCTTCCTGCTTCCTGATGCTTTATCAATAAAATTGACTCAGTAGCTCCTAAAAAATAAAGTAAGCATTCTCTGTGTTAATATGGATTGACCTCTCCCAATCCTTTTCCTCATTGTTTAGCTTCTCTTTGTATTGTGTTGTGTCACGGGTCATTTGGATGCTTTTTTCATGCATTCATTATTCTGTTTTCCTCCCTATCACCTGCTAGGGTCTGACTTTGTTTTGGTTCCGGTTTTGTATGAAAAACAACACGGCGGTGACAACCCAGAATGCATAGCAATTCCTGAGCTGACATATGTTTATGTACATACAAGTCGGCCAATTTGACTGGTGCAACTTTGTTTTTTGTTTTTAAATGAAAAGGAGCAGTTGGTAGCATTGAGTTTTGTTAGCAAGGAAAATTCAGAGGATACCGTGATCCCCAGATGGCTGCCCCTCCCTGAGCCTGACTTTGCTGAAGATTTCTTCCTGTTAAAATGGGGTTCTTTCTTCTCACTGTCACCAAGTGCTGCTTAAATGGGGATGTTTGATTGTTGGGGTTTCTCTGTATTATTGCTGGATCTTTACCTTAGAAAGATAAAGTGCCTTGAAGTGACTGCTGTTGTGATCTATCACAGTATAAATAAAATACAATTGAACTGAATTGACAGAAATGTCATTTTTAGTTAGCAAAAATAATAGCCTAAATTATATTATAACCTATTCTGTCAGTGCACTGCTATTTGCACTTTCATAACTCTGAAAGTCCATCCATAGACTCAAAGTGGGTCCAGAAGTCTCGTTGTCCTACATTTCAGTAAAAGCTGCAGTTGTTAAAGATTTATTAGTTCCAAGTCCAACAGGAACAGATCAGATTCCAGAGCAATGCACACCTGCACTCAAGTATCAATGCAAACAATGACAGTGCCCACTGTAACATTTTTGTACTACTAAACAAATTGCACCCAAGCAGTCGCTTAAAATGGCCAGGGCATTAATTATGCATGACATTAAGCCATAAAACATTTTAAAGGTCTACCTAAAAATCATGCATACAGTTGCCACATACCAGGACCAAAGGTTTTATAATTTTTTACGTTTTGGCAAGGGGACTGAGTTGGTTTTGGAGCCAGCAATTTGAATAGCTTACCAGTATTTAGGCCAAAGCTATGTGTTGAGTCATGCTATGTCACATGGGCTAAAAATAAATGAATAAATGATAAACCTGACACGGAATAAAGGTTACAGAAAAAATAAACAATTAAAAAATACACTGCACTAAAAATTGAAACCGGAGCTTGTTTAGATCAGGCAGATTCAATTTAATCTGAGGAAAGAAAGAAAAAACACTGAAAACTAATAAATTCAAGTTGTTGTTTTTTCATCTAATTTCTCTCATCTTAACTTTTCCATCAAAGCTTTGCTCTGTCATATCTCCTGGGTGCCATATTTAATACCCATCTAACAATGGACCAGATAATGTCTCAAGTATAATTGTTCACCAGGAGAGGTAGAAACATGCAGTGCCATTGTCTGTCTTCCTTTTGTAGTTAGTTAAAAGGTGGATAAATAAGATGCAATTTAGAGACTTTTAAGACATAATTTTTTTCCTCTTGCCTTAATCACTGTGAAATTACCTCTGGGTGAGGGCTGTCATTAAAATAGAAGAGGCACTTGCTTCTTGGATGCTCGAGGCAAGCATAAAGCGCTAATAGCATAGTGCCTCGATGGCACTGACGATTTTAACGGGCTCTGTATTATCCTGCTGTGCCTATAGCCGTGGCTACACCACCCGCTCGCCGAGGATGTCTTATGATGGCCTATTTGTAGATTGTGCCAGCTGTTTCCTGTGATAAATACACTGTAAAAGCTGCTTCATGATATATGCAGAGCCATGTAGTTTCATACTAAATGTATTTTTCTGAGAACCTTTACTTTGATGGCCCACTTAAACTAGTTACTGCTTTGTCACACAGTACTGGAGCTCAGTTAGTATTACCCCCTAGTACAATCTAAATATTAATCTTTCACTTTCCCTATGAAGTCAAAGGCAAGCTGACTCCCATTGTCGACCGTTCCTTGTCAAAAGAGCCCAGCTCTGGCCCTGGGTTTATGTCCCACAGGGTGGCTTCTCGCCCTGGGCTAGAGGACCCTGAAGTGACATGGACAACAACCTCCAGATGTTAGCCTGCATTAGGACCTGACAGCTTGCCATGTCACTGCCTACACTACCACGCAGTTCCATCACTTCCCATCTGCTGCCCAACACCTCTCGAGGGAGAGAAAGTGGGTGGGGATGGGAAAAGACTGAGACTTTGCTGCCCTTCATTCTAGATTAGGAGACTAAACATCACAACACTGACAGATCGTGCTGGGAGGGAGGCAGGCATCTGATTTGTCCCAGCATCCAGCCAGAGTTATGAAGAACCATCTTCGGCCCAGAAGACCAAGTCCCTGCAACACATACGGGCTCAGCACCATGGAGCTGAATCAGACTTCCATTTACATGGGTCAATATGAATCCGACCCCAATATTACATGAGTCACTAGAGTCCTGTTAGATATTTGGAGATCAAGAAGATGGAAGCATGGACATTTCTAATTACTTTTATTTTTTGTTTGTTTTTACAATTTTTAAAATATTTATCACCTTTGACTAATGATAAAACTAATCAGCAGATTAAATAAACAAATGTAATAACTGTTTGTTGTGTCCCTAATATGAACCTTTGATATATAAGTCATAATAAACAGAACATCTGTGAGTGTTTGGTCAGGATTCTATGCAGTGTTGCACCATGAAATTAGAAAGGCTCAACAACATATATGTACAAAAATCAAAGATGGGGGGAAAAAAAACCCCTGAAGTCATAAAGTAGACATTAAAATAAACCATTGAATGGTGGGATAAGTTTTGCCCAATGAGAAAATAGCCTGATGTTTGGCTCCCCCTCCTGGAAACACAGAGTAACATCATGCACAGGACATGAACCTCTCAGTATCTCAGGCCTGCTACTGAAAAGCAGCTAGTGAGGACTCGCCACAGCCATGCTGGCACAGCTACACCTGCTACTGTCCTAACATCTGATGTTGAAAACAAACAGTGCATTCATGTGTTCAACATCTATTTTGAAATGGCATCATACGTTGTATAAGTTATACATTTACTGTTTTTCCTGTGTTTCTTTATCTGTGTTTGTCCTTAAGTTAATGTCTCCTTTG